TGTTATCCCTTCCTCATAAACTTTGGTAATTAACCTGTCCCTAGTGACCCACTACACAGATATCACCACCATCACCAGCAACAGCTTCTTCCACTCCTAAGCAAAGTAAGTTGATCTGGCTTCAAATATGTGTATGTATGTATGGGGTGTGTGTGTGTGTGTGTGTGTGTGTGTGTGATTCAGGCATTTAAATTACTGTAGTCTGAGCAGGTATTTATAGGATTTACATGTCAATATTTACACAAGACTGTTTCATGTTTGAAAATAGAAATCTACCTAATTCACCTTTGTTTTCAGTAACCTCCTCAATATCCATTGCATCCAAATGCATGTGGTGTAGTTTAAGTCTTACATTTTTTTGGTAAAATAGTCATGGAAAAGATGACTGCTCTCATTTTCCAGGTTAAGAAAGGGAGATGGTAAGAAGCAGATAGAGATATAAGCCTAGATTTGATTTTTAAGTTGAACATTTCTCTTATTCAGGCAAAAGTAACGATGATATCCTTGCTGCTAACTCTAATGCCTGGTTTTTAGTCATATTCTGACCTCCCTTCTGTCTGGTACGTGGCATCATTGACAACTGTTTTCTTTTTGAAGCTGTCTTTTACTTTGACTAGTGATAACACTCTTGTCCAGCTCTCCACCCGGCTATGCATGCATTTCCCATCAATTGCCTTTGCAGAAAATTTGTACCTTTTTTAAATGCCACTGTCTCTCAAGATTCTGTCCTTGCCCTTTGATCTCACATAACAAATCTTCCTGAGTATTATCAGATATTTCCTTGGCTTCAAGAACCACCACTATACTGTGATTTTAAAATTTATGAGTCTAGACCAGCTGTTCTCAACTTGTGGGTAGTGACCCCTTTGGGGGTCAAACGACCCTTTCATAGGGGTCGCCTAAGACCATCCTGCATATCAGATATTTACAGTATGATTCATAACAGTAGCAAAATTACAGTTATGAAGTGGCAACGAAAATAATTTTATGGTTGGGGATCACCACAACATGAAGTACTATATTCAGTTGGGTTGCTGCATTAGGAAGGCTGAGAACCACTGGTCTAGACACTACTGAGCCTCCAGTTCATATTTTCAAAGGGTTAATACGCCAGCACATCTCAGAGGCACATCATGTTCAACATGTCCAAATATAAAATCAATGCACATAAACATTTTTCTTATCTCATATCAGAATGTTATCTCTTTGTGCATTTCCCTGATCCATGCTTTATTTTTCTAGAAATCACAACTACCAAGAATATAGGAGTACGTGTCTACAGGGCAAGTACCAATGTCTCCATGACAGGAGCAAAGTAGAATTTAAATGCATTAAAAATTCAGTTCCTCTGTCATGATAATAATATTTCAACACTACCAGCTGCATGGCTCCAATATTGGATAGTACAGATATAAAACCTTACCATCATCACAAGTTTCATTGGCCACATTATGTAGACTAAGAAATTAATAAGAAAGTGGTAATAACTGACCTTTTAGAAATCTACACATAGATTATATCTGCAATGTCTTTTAAACTTACCCTTTTCTCTTTGTGCCTATTGTCTTTAGGAAACAACCTAACAGGTCTCCCAGCCACAAATATTTCTCTGTCCAGATCCATTCTTGAAATTGTCACTAAATATAGCTATCCATCTTAACACATTTCTCTCTAAAACATTTTATAATTTCTCCTTCATTGCTGGAGGGATGGAGTTCACTTAGCATGAAAATAAGACTTCTCATCAACCAAGTTACCTCACTAATCTCAAAAGACATTGCTCCCCATACACACCTATGAATTCCACTTAAAATAAGATTTCACTGTTAAACAAACAAAATAAATCCTGTCACTGTGCTGCCTGAAATGCCTGCCTTATATTCCTTTATTTAGAGTAGTCCTATTCCTCCCATAGGACTCAATTCAAGGACCACTCCCTTCATATAATGTTTCTGACATTCACTGCCTAGAGTTCTCAGCTTCTACCTCCATCACATTATATTATAATTATTTCTAAAACCCTTACTGTACTATGAGTTTTTTAAGGAAATGGGACACTGGCTTATTATCTACCTTAATTGTCTAATATAGTGCATTTTGCACAAAAATTATTTTACATTGTGTTGCTATTTTTTGAAGTGATGAAGTAGTAAAATAATGAGTGGGTTACAAAGTTGAAGAGATGCACCCTAGTATTGTAAGTAATCCTTTAGTCATTTTTATAATGTCTGCTTATTACCAAAATCTCCCCATCAATCACTGCATCCCACTTAGTCTAACAGTAATATCTTAGATCAATAAAACTATTTTTACAGGTTAATAAAAAATGTTTTTAATTAGCAGCTAAAGAGGTAGGAAGCTCTTAAAACTGTTGACAGATTTTTTTATTGTACCAAAGTACTTAATTAAAAATGGAAACAACTAAATCCTAATAACATCAAAACATGAATATTTCCAAGTATGTGGGAATATGCTGGTGCGACAAATAGTATATGAAGGACGGAGGTACCACTAAAATACCTTGTGAACTCAGCAGAGCACCCACCATTTACTCTTAATTCTCTCTCCCATGATCTCTTCCTTTTTAGATCTTTGTATATATCTACTGAACTCAGCTTTGTTTCAGAGCATAAATATGTATCCTGCTATTGCTTGTCAAAAACAGAAAAACTATATTATAGTGATAAAGGAAAGGAAGAAAGGACAGAAAGGATGTTCTGAATAAGTTCTGAATAATGTCAAGAGTCTATTTTTATGCGAAAATAATACACTGTAGCAACAGTAATGATAATAACAATAATGATTTAATAATTTTTAAATTATTAACTTGTTATTGTTTTATAGGTCATATCCACATTTTTAAAAAAGATTTTAAGTCATTTTGCCATTGTCAGTGAAATTCTCTGTAAGTGCTCACTTTCAAATTTTAAATTATTAAGCAAAAGTTAGAAACATGGACAGCATGTGCCGAAACTATGAAATTGCAAAGAAGTCATTTAGAAGTGAATATTGTAAACAGTTGGTCAGTGGAGCCCATGTATAGTGAGAAATTCTGAAGATGGTGTTCACCTGAAAGAGTGATTAAGAGATACACTAATGAGTGAAGGATGGCTGGGTTTTTAAAGAAAATTCATCCATCACACGCCCTTATTTGATCTCACAATTTGTTAGCTTTTTAACCAAGAACAATAGCCTGACAAAATCTTGCTGTGTGTCCTGGGAAGTTGTTTTCTTTCTTTCTTTCTTTTTTCTTTTCTTTCTTTCTTTCCCTTTTTTTTTTTTTTTTAGTAGGAAGACTCATTCACTATAATTATCTCTGCCTTTTTAGTTCTACAACAGTTTATTCATAATATAAATAAAATATTTTATGACTGATGCTGAGAAGATAGAGTATACTTTCAATACAGACATTTATAAAGAGGGATACTAAATTTTTCTTTACTGTATTTCTCCATCTCTAAGATTAACTTTCGGTGTATTTATACTTGTATAAAACATTACTTTGTTTTAAGTGAGTTTCTATCAGGTGGATCAGATCTATCAAGAAACAAGCACTGAACTGGTTCACTATACACATACTTGTTCGCTATGTTCATCAGAAAGCAACTCTTAAATTTGTTGAATTGATGCTAAATCCCTTGTGACATATTTAACGAAGCTCATTAATACAAATAATGTCCACCCACAGCACAGTTTTTCAGGGTCAAGATACTGTTGCTATAAGGCATGCTTCACTACACTAACACACTGAAACTACTCCAGGCAACCACCATTCATCTCTGGGTAAGAGGCTTCAAGAGAAATTACTGTGAATTCTTAGACTCTGAAAGAATGAGATGCTTTTTAGAGAATCTGTCCCCTGGGGGTGAAGGGATCAGTGGGAGACAGCATTATTGGCTAGGACACACTAGGTAAAGAATGATCTGGGCTCACAAGTTGGCCTCATTCAAAGCCATTAGCACTTTTAAGTGCAACGATGGTTTATATTTCTGTCCCTGGAAGTGTTCAGAAGCCTGAGGGTACAGATTGAAACAAAAAGTGATGGGCTTAGATGGAAGAAAATGAAAAGTTTATGGAAGACCAAAGAAAGCTTCCCGCTGAGAGTGTTTATTAACTTAACAGTGCTTCCCTTTAAGAACCAAGCTAGTTCTTAAGATGTCTGGAGGTTTAGGAATGGTTATTCCAGTAGAGATAAACCCAAGCAGAAAAATAATTTACTGAAGCCAATAGCATAATTCTGGTAGCATTATTATTCTATTAATCTAATGCTTGTATTGAATTAAATGAGAGCTTTGATGGCACAAAATGGATACATCTCATAGTTTCTGTGTTTGCTTCAAACACATAAAAAGGCAATATTAAAAACTAATTGCAGCATTCTTCAAAATAAATATTATGCATTTTTGGTTATTTATTTTTCCTCTTTATCCCTTTGTCTCACAGAACTGTATCTAAATAAATGATATAAAACATTTAATAAGCTAATAACTTAAGCATATTTTCAACTTATTTGGTACATGTAAAGATATTTAATTTGACAGGTGCAATGTGTGTTCATAAATATACAGAATATAATTGTATATATGTTTATAACTGTATATATGTTTATGTTGCTCTGTGATTACATGACATTGCTTTCTATTTTAAAATGAGATTATTTAAGATTGCATAAAAACATTTTAACATTCATAAATCAGGACAATGCAGTGATTTTACTGGGAATAGCAAAGAGATAGCTCCTCAATGAAAGTAATAAACTTCCAAACAGTATAAGTCATACTGGAGCAATGGTTCAGGCACTAGGAAAACAGAATATAATATCTGAAAACTATGAATTTCTTTTTTACTTTTAAAACCAAAATTACAAAGCAAGATATTATCATTGTATGCTATCATTTATGAAAAATGGACACTAATTTTTACTTCAATGTTGCACAATTAACCATTTCATAGAGTACCTAAACACATGTGTTTAAGTGAAATACATAAATATATCTTGCCTTACAAACTCTTCCAACTCGAGAAAGGATGGTCTTATCAGAAGTGCTGCCTTCTTGAGATGATTCACGAAAGAAGAAATATATTTTATCATCATCTGGATTGTAGGTGTCTGGTATAGGGAAAGTTCCAATAAATTTGGCTCCTGTTGGAAAGAAAAGAAGAAATAAAATAAGATAATGAAATAATCAAGCATAAGAGCACTGGTGTTTTTATATGTAAAATAATTACTATCAGACCAAAAAAAAAAATGAACCATGTTTGTAACGTGGGGAATGAGCTATGTCTACAAATAAACGTGATACAACGTAGAACCACGCATTAGTGTAAAGAGGTACTGAACACTTCTCTAGGAATTCCATAGAACAGGTGACACATGGCTGGTCTAAATTACTTATAAATGTTTCCAATTCTGGAAATGTTATGATTTTATGTTTACTTTCCATATGATGAAGCCACTGTTTCTTAATCATATGTCTTTTATAAAGAGCTTAGGAAAGACTAAGTATATCCCAGATTTTGACATACTCTGAGGCTCTTGGCTACATTTTATATAATGCCCCAAGGGGGAAAAAAATGGAAAAACCAATAATACTTAATCAACTCCAGATAGGCTCTGGAAGGACTCTTTCTGAGTTTCTATCTTGTCTCTGCCCCTTATTGGAAAGGTGACTTTAGACAAATTATTTATCTTCCCCATGTCTTAATTTTCTTGTGCATAATATAAGGCTGCCAACATCATCTATTCAGTAAGATGACCAAGTGAGTTAATACTTCTAAATTATGTAGTATCTGGCAGTATCTATTATATAATGTATTCAATAAATGCAATTTATTATTAAAACAGTAATAGGGATGGTAGTAATTATCATTATTATGACAATAAACAAGAATATTGAGCCCATCCATGGAAAGATGTCTATAAGATATATAGAGTGAAAAAATATTTGCAAATAAAATAAATCCCTTTGCACTGTATCAATGATAGATTGATTTTGATTACTAATTGCTTGCTTACAAAATATTGGACATTTTAAGTCTTGATTTTATGTAATTATAAATTAACAAGATGACAGATCTGTATAAAAAATGATTATTAAAGAACAAAGGAAGGACTTTAAGTGGAAAATGCAAGGCACCTGAAAAGAAGCACAGAGCACTTCTGAGTGTTAAGGAAACAGAAAAGAGAAGGACAAAGAATGTGGTGGGTGCTAAAAAAAAGATTAACTTTGCCTTGTCGAGGGTTTTGCCTAAGTCTCTGATTGCTGTGTGTTTCAGGAGTACGGAAAAATCACTGCCCTGTAGACGTATAACAATTGGCCCATGGCACAACAAAGAAAGCTTCACAATAGCCTTCTTCAACAGACAAAAGTTAGTGCAGGAGTCCAAATGATGAGTGGTTCCATCATTATCATCCTAGCCTCTCTGGGTCTGCCCCATGTCTCCCATCCAATCTCTTCTCTGCTTTAATGAGAAGCCTTGAAAGGGACAGACAAGATGGAAATATATGCATATATTTTTCTAAATCTATTCTTTGTTATTTCCCTGATCTTTTCTAGAAGTAGGAATGTCAATGGACTCTTAAAATTCGGATACTCTCACCTTGGTATGGGCATAAAAATTTACATACAAATTAAATTTTAGAAAACCACATAAGGTTTGGAAAATTTTTCATTTCCAATTAATCTTAAACTGGCAAGGTCCATTAACAGTTCCACTCAAGGTTATTATTCCCAGTCCCTCTTACAAGTTGATGATAAATCATAAACACTTGGTTTTGATCCCTGAGCAAAGCAAACATTCTTTCTTTAGTCACATATTAACACTTCTGCTATTTTCTTTAAATATATTTTCTTAAAAGAAAAAAAAAACCCCAAACTCTACAACTCCATAAACAAATTTTCCTATTGGGTTTCAGTCAATTAATGACAATAAATAATTTATTTTAAAATATTACTATATTCAAGGAACTTAGAGCAAAAAAGAAACACTGTTAGCATCAAAACAAAAATAAATAAGAACTGAGTCTTCACTTCAAACCAGTTATGCTCTTGATTAAGGAAATACTGACACAGTCAAGATGTGCCCAAGAGGGCCTAGCCTTGATGTGTCCAAAGACCTGAAGAGATATTGCAACCATGAATAGAGAAAAAAACAAAAACAAACAAACAAAAATACCAACCAACTGTGGCCTCCCATAGACATAGATCAAGGATTAGTAATACTATGGAGAATTTGTCAAATTTACACTTGCCCAAGTCCATTGGAACCAAATTAGAAGAAAATCTCTAGTTGAACTAGCACATTTATTTTAAACATATATAAATACAAAAATATAATAATACCCTATAGATAATTACACATATACAATATACATATCTACGAGTTACTAACACAGACCACCATTCTATATATGGGAAAAGGATATAGACAGACTCATTAACCCTAGGTCAATAGTACAGATGTATGGCTAGACAGGGGGAGTAAGGACTAAATATTAAGTATAAATTCCTAAAAAATTAGAATGAGTCAAAAAAGGGATACAACTGCAGCTATGCAGAAATTATAGGAATATGACTGGCTTCCTTTTTCTTCACAAACATGTTAGCTTAAAATAGATATTTATGTGAGAAGAATTTATCTTAGCACCTTAAGTGGAAGTTACACATACAGTGTGATTCCCCTTGAAATGTTGGCTTGATAATGGTCAGTCCCTGTTCCCTTGTTTGCTTCTGCATAATTGTTATGCTAGAGGACACAGTTGGTAGTTGTAAAGATTCTTGACTCTTTTTAGTAAATAACATCACCTATTTGGAACCAGGAGTAGTTTTTGAGATATCTTCCAGGTCCTGCGTTCCAGTGGACCACAGAACTGACCCAACTGGTCTTTAACCCTCCATCCAAGGTTCTGCATTCCAGCAACTAACCCATCTAGACAGTCCATACAAAAGGAATAATGGTTCTGTGCTCCAAACCAGCCAATCAGCAGACCTTGTTTGCCAACCAAATTATCTTTAAAAACTCTGTCCCCCCAATCCCTGGTGAGGCAGATCTGAGAGATTTCTCCCATTTCCCTTCTTAGTGCTACGAGGAATAACCCCTTTCTCTGCTATGGAAAAAAAAATGTTAGTATCTTATGAGACCTACATAATGATCAAGTTGAATTCTTAAAAGAAATAACAATGGTACAAAATTCACACACTGTTCTTTTTTTTTTTTTTTTTACTGTTGGAGAATCATGGAGGGGACAAAGAACCAGGTTATATTACTTTCATTTGTTAAAGTCCCTCTTATTATTGTGTCCTGCCCCCAAGAAGTGTCACACACTGTGACCTCCCCACCTCCTCCCTCCTTCTCTCTCTCCCCTTTCCCATTCCCCTACCCCCATTATGTAGTAGCATCAATTGTCCTCGTATCAGAATTGAGTACATTGGATTCTTGCTTTTCCATTCTTGTGATGCTTTACTAAGAATAATGTGTTCCACTTCCATCTAGGTTAATACAAAAGATGTAAAGTGTCCATCTTTTTATTGCTAAATAGTATTCCATGGTATACATATACTATAGTCTGTAAAACCATCTCACGATTGGTGGGCATTTAGGGTGTTTCCACAATTTGGCAATTGTAAATTGAACTGCAATAAACAGTCTAGTGCAGATATCCTTATGTTAAAATGATTTTTTTTTCTGGGTAGATGCCCAGTAATGGGATTGCAGGATCAAATGGGAGTCTAGTTTGAGTTTTCTGAGGATTCTCCATACTTCCTTCCAAAAAGGCTGTATTAGTTTACAGTCTCACCAGCAGGGTAAAAGTATTCCCTTCTCTCCACACCCACGCCAGCATTTGTAGCTTTGAGACTTTGAGATATGGGCCATTCTCACTGGGGTTAGGTTATCTCAGGGTGGATTTATTTGTTTATTTATTTATTTTTGAAACAGAGTCTCACTTTGTCATCCTTCATAGAGTTCCATGGCGTCATAGCTCACAGCCACCTCAAACTACTGGGCTCTAGTGATTCTCTTGCCTCAGCCTCTCAAGTAGCTGGTACCCACCACAATGCCCGGCTATTTTTAGAGACAAGGTCTATCTCTGGCTAAGGCTGGTCTTGAACCTGTCAACTTAGGCAATCCACCAGCCTCAGCCTCCCAGAATGCTAGGATTACAGGCATGAACCACCATGCCTGGCCCTCTCAGAATGGCTTTAATTTGCATTTCTCTGATAATTAGTGATGATGAGCATTTTTTCATATATTTGTAAGCCATTCATCTGTCTTCTTTAGAGAAGGTTCTAGTTATCTCACTTGCCCATTGATATAAGAGATTGTAGGGTCTTTTTTTTTTGGTGCTTACTTTGAGTTTTCTGAAGATTCCAGTTATCAAGCTTTTGTCTGATTAATAACATACAAATATCTTTTCCCATTCTGATGGTTGTCTCTTTGCTTTGGTTGTTGTGTCCTTAGCTGTACAGTTTAATTAAGCTATTTAGTTTAATTAAGTCCCATTTGTTTATTTCTGTTGTTCTTGCAATTGCCACTTGAGTCTTCTTCATAAAGTCTTTCCTCAGGCTGATACCTTCAAGTACTTTCCCCATACTTTCTTGAGGATTTTTAATGTTTCATGCCTTAGATTTAGATCTTTTATCCAACTCGAATCAATTTTAGTAAGAGAGAAAGATGTGGGTCCAGTTTCAGTCTTTACATGTGGTTATCCAGTTCTTTTAGCATCATTTATTGAAGAGGGAATCTTTCCCCCAGTTTATGTTCTGGTTTGGTTTATCAAAGATCAGGTGGCTGTAAGATATTAGTTTCATCTCTTGGTTTTCTGTTTGGTTCCAGATGTCTATATCTGTATTTTTGTGCCAATACCATGCTACTTTGATCACTATGGCCTTGTAGTACAGTCTAAAGTCTGGTAGGATGATGCCACCAGATTTGTTTTTATTATTAAGAATTTCCTTCACTCTATGGATTTTTTCTGGTTCCATGCAAACCAAATAATTATTTTTTTTCAATTCTTGAAAGCATGATGATGGTGTTTTAATAGGGATTACATTCAATCTATAGATGGCTTGGGAACTAAAGACATTTTAACAATGTTGATTCTCCCCAGCCATGAGCCTGATATGTTCTTCCATTTGTTAATAT